CTTAGCGTGATGTTTACACACTCGCTAAGCAGAGGCAAACTACCGGAAATATGGAAGCTGGCCCACATCACACCAATTTTCAAAGGAGGTCGACGCAGTGAACCCTCAAGCTACCGACCACTGGCCCTTCTCTCCATACCTTCCAAAATTATGGAATCCCTATTATACGATTGTATACAAGAAAACTTATCATCCTCAAAGTTCTTCTCACCTCAACAGCATGTTTTCAGAAAAGGTCATTCTTGTATGACCAACCTGCTGACTGCGGTGGATAGATGGACAACCATCCTTGATCACAAGGGGAAGGTTGACGTCATCTACCTGGACTTCTCAAAACCTTTTGATAGGGTCAACCACGTATGTCTTAACAATAAGCTTAGACGATTGGGTATCAAACCCCCTTTGATTGACTGGCTCACTTCATATCCAAATGCCTTGCTGCTCGGTTTCTTTTTCTTTTTTTTCTCTTCGGAATCTTGCTCTGAGGGTGAAGCTATGTGACTTCTGACATCTGGAACAAGCTCGACGAACGCGCTTTCCCAAGGTCATAGCTCGAACCAGGCGCTCCACAAGCCTACTTTATAACAACAATAAACTTAAAAAGCTGCATTACATAAATATTTAGAACTACCGAAACCCTATTACACTTTTTGTCGAGATTGGATCTGGTATATAACGTGGACGCTATGCCCCTTTCGAAACTATTCTTATGAAAACACATTATATGTGAACGAATGAACTGCTATCAACTTTTATAGATTATAATTACTAAACAAGCTTGCTTGGGATGCATACTGTGAACCAGTATATGTTGTAAATTGTAGATCATGCCTGTAAAAATGGCGTGTACCTGCTAATGCAGAAATATATTATTATTATTATTATATGGAGGCTGTAACTATCGAAGCGTTTCGTGCCAACAGATACAGGTTGGCATTTGGAATCTAATTAGGTCACATGATGCCAGGATCATGCACAAAAGCGAATAGGAGGTGACTATTACACTTGTGGAGTGTCAAGATCATGAAAAAATGTAGAAAGAACAGGGGCTACCAACTTTGAAAAACATTTCCAGGTAGATTGCTCTTTATTTACATACGGCTCAAACAGATAAATAGGATGGGGAAGCTCTAGCGTTCCAAATTGTCTACCTGTTGTATCCGGAAGAGAATTACGAATGGTAACTTTTGAGGACTATTTGTTGGTCAATATAATATGTATATTTCCTATTGTAATTAACCTAATCATATTCGTTTCCTCTCATCACTAACTTTATTTTGACCTTTGAACTATTATTATACGATCCTTGAGTTATCATCAGTTTATTAATTACTATTCACAGCCACATTCGGCTAAATATTGTACAAATGTTATTATCTATTTTATGGGTCGATATGGTTTGTTTGGTTGGTATATAAACTCAGTATGTTTGAAATACAATGATTCATACCACTGACTATGTTATTGGTGTTTTGGACTTAACTAGTTGGCTAGGCAGATCGCAGGATCGGTTAGCACTGTAGACTGCTCGTACGGTTTCGTGTGTCACTATTCCAATCGATAATTCGCTGCTCTCTAATTGGCGGTTTCATCAAGTCACACATTAGCTAGGCGTCTAGATAGTTATCCACAGGAAGCCATCGCTGACATGGAGTACGACAATCATATGCTGGGAGGATTATCCCGCTTTACTCGTCTCAGATTCACCCATAACCGGAATCTAGGAGAATTCGACCATCCTAAAGTAAGTTTCGCTGAACATACGTACATCGAAAGTTAAAAATCTACTGAAGCTCAGCTCACAGAGCACTTCAATCTTCCTAGAATCAACTTCGTGGAACATACATACATTGGTGGTGCCAACTCTACTGAAGCTCTGTTCTTCAACCTCATCGGTGACCTGGGATTATTCGAAAATGTGAAGTCGGCAACCTGTTGGAGAAACAGTCAGACGCCGTCACGCTTAGACTGGGTATTCACAAATGAAGAATTCCTAGTTGACGACCTCTCAATCCTGGCTCCCCTGGGGAAAAGTGATCACGCCGTCTTATCATTCAGCTTTGTCAGCAAAACGGAGCTAAGATATCAAACTAGCAACAGGCGCTGGAATTTCAAACGGTTGAATGTGTTAGCTTTACAGGACTATCTACAACAGGTGGACTGGGATGTTCACCCTCAAATTGAAGTGGATGCTCATTGGGATTTTTTACTGCACACGATCTTATGTGCTACTGAGCATTCAGTTCCTAAAATGGCCCCACAAAGCTACAAACAACCTCCGATCATCAAGAACCGCACTCGTCGTTTGCCAAGGCACTGTTTGGTCGAAAATAAACGAACCGACAATAACGACGCATACACGCAATATAAACGCATAAGGAACATATGCACAAAGGCAATAAGAGAAGACAGGCTTCAGTTCCAGACCAAGCTTATCGATAAATTCGTCTCCAATCCGAAAAGCTTATTCAGTTACGCAGCTTCTCTTCGACAAGGCAAAACTGGAGTTTCCCAACTGCTTGGTCCTAATTGCCCGACCAATAACGACGATGATGCCGCTAACCTTTTGGCTAAAAAATACTCCCAGACATTCCAGCTGACCCACATCAACTATACTGACGAAAGCTTCACCTGCACCTGTACAGGACTTTCCGAAGTGGATCTGAGTGCTGACCTGGTGCTCCGTAAACTGCAGAACCTAAAAAAGACACTTCTCCTGGTCCGGACATGGTTCATTCCGCTGTATTGAGGGAAGCAGCTTCAATCCTGGCGACACCACTTAGCGTGATGTTTACACACTCGCTAAGCAGAGGCAAACTACCGGAAATATGGAAGCTGGCCCACATCACACCAATTTTCAAAGGAGGTCGACGCAGTGAACCCTCAAGCTACCGACCACTGGCCCTTCTCTCCATACCTTCCAAAATTATGGAATCCCTATTATACGATTGTATACAAGAAAACTTATCATCCTCAAAGTTCTTCTCACCTCAACAGCATGTTTTCAGAAAAGGTCATTCTTGTATGACCAACCTGCTGACTGCGGTGGATAGATGGACAACCATCCTTGATCACAAGGGGAAGGTTGACGTCATCTACCTGGACTTCTCAAAACCTTTTGATAGGGTCAACCACGTATGTCTTAACAATAAGCTTAGACGATTGGGTATCAAACCCCCTTTGATTGACTGGCTCACTTCATATCTAGAAAACCGACATTTTAAGGTCAGGGTTAACTTCACTCTCTCTCAGGCTATGGAATGTCCTAGTGGGGTCCCCCAGGGATCAATACTAAGACCTCTTCTCTTCTTGATTTACATCAGTGATCTTTCTCAACAAGTTTCATCTGAATTATTGATTGCAAAGTAGTCCATCTGCAACATGTTGCAGACTATATTTACAACTTAGGTAACTCACCTCTAGAAGTTTTCCAAGTCGAAAAAGATTTAGGAGTGTTGGTACCCTACGACCTGAAATCGTATGCGAACTGTGACAAAAACGCCTCTCAAGCAAACCTTGCACTGGTAACATTGAAGCGCATTTTTAGCCAGTTAGACGGTAGAACCTTCCATATAATCTTCAACAGTTTTATTCGTCCCCATTTAGAGTACGGAAACATAGTATTTCCTCCCTCCCTCCAAAAGGATAAAGACACTCTAGAACGTATACAACGTCGAGCCACGAAATCCGTTCGGGGACTCACATCCAAGCCTTATGAAGAGCGCCTCCAATCACTTAACCTTTACCCGTTAGAGTACAGGCGTCTTAGATGTGATCTTCTTATGATTTATAGTATCCTTAATACTTCTGGTCATCCACTTGAACATCTTCTTAAGCTTAGTCATAACACTAACCTCAGAGGTAACACCCAGAAATTGGAAACCCTACGTAGCAGAACAGACACAACTTCTACTCCGTTAGAGTTGTCAAGTGCTGGAATTCGCTGCCGACTGAGCTAGTCCAAGCGACCTCCCAAGAGTCCTTTAAGAGAAAACTTGACTTATTCTTAAGGACTAAGAATAACTTATTATGATTTACTAAATTCTTTTTTCCTCTATTATCGTTAATATACCTACGCTTTTGCCTGGAGGTATTGGTGATCCACTGCTACTAAACACGGAAGCCCGTTAAGCGAAAGCTTCTTTTATTCCGTCCTCAACCATTTGAACCGTGTGAACCATTTGTAGGTCACCTTCGTTTCGGCGCGTACGTCTGCAATGGAGCATTGCAAGGTAGAACGCAGTCTCCATTTGGCACGTCGTCAGCAGTGTGCCTGTTTAATTCAGGAAATTGGGTCAAGGTTGCAAACGTAAGTTTTTACTGAAGTAGTGTGTATCCCTGTCTGCTTCATACAGAACACAGGTAGTCATAAATGCAGGCATATACTACATGCACTACTTCTACGAAGTTTTCTCTCCAGAAACTATCAAACCAATTTTAGTTGCAATAGCTGCCTTTTATTGTGCATGCAAAACAGAGGAGTTTTCTAGGAAACTCTCCTTCTTAATCAAAGCTGCTTATGATATCTTAAAGAGACCTGCACCTGATGAGGGGTCAGATGCATTCAAGAGACTCGTTCAAAATGTTCATGCTTTAGAGGCTACTATTCTTATGGTCATTGGGTTTCACACTCTTGAAGTCAAGCAACCACATGTGCTACTCATTAAGGCCATTCGCGCAAATAAATTCCCGAAGGAAATAGCTCATACTAGCTACTATGTCTGCACCAATATACTGCATCTCACTACTTTAGTATTGCGACATTCTGCAGAAGCGATTGCCGCTGCTAGTCTTTACATTTCTGCAAAGTGGAACGGAACAGACATTCAGTCTTCAAACGGGGAGTGGTACCATATTTTTTCCCCGATGCTGACTTTTGAGGAAGTCTCAAAAATAACAGACGAATTCACCCTTACTTTCCAAGAGTGCGATTTAAAAATCAGAGAGCAATTGCGCTGTTCGCTCCGAGTAAGTCATTTTACTTTAGATATAGTATTTAGTCCCGTAAGTTACAAAGAGAACGAAGAGAGGATCTTGTCAATAATCCTCCTCGAGCTCAAGAACCTCAGAGGAGACCAGTTCCTGATTCTCAACAAAAAGCTGATTCTTGGAAAGTGAGTTCTAAATAATACTCCTAAAATTTTTCCAGTGAGTGCTCTAATTTATTGTTGTATCTGAGACTTCTGTTTACGAGAAATAGTATCATAGTATTGCATTCAGATTGGGTGAACGACGGTATTTGTTCGTTGCAACTCAAGCGTATCTAACGTTGAACTATATCATCAAAAGGATGAGTTAACAAGGTGGCCATTTTTCACCCAAAAGTCCGTTTATGGATATTGATAAAATAGATGCATATCATTATGAGAACTGAGTTTTAGCGAATGTTAGGAATTTTATATCCCATCCCCATTTTCGCGTTTATTACCAAACAGATATCATTATCATTTTAATACTTAAGATGGTTCAGATAGTTATGAGCCCACTTGATATTTCCGACAATCGTTTCGACACAATGTTATTTTGTCACGATAAAATATACTGGTACCAACTTTTCTTGAAACTTGACCAAAACCTATGAAAGGTTTCGTGGGGGATCATGAGGCGGATTCTTATTCACGACTTTATTTATAAAGTAGAACTTCTGTTAACTTTGAATAAATGTAACCCACAGCTAAAGTCAGCATTGTGCAGTCATGAGGGAGAGAATGATTATACCATCTTTAATATGATCCATAATAATATTTGGCAGAAAAGTTAATTCACTCGGAGAGAACAACTAAAATGGTTTTGTGTCTGATAAGGGGTTCATTTTACTTTTAGAATGTTACGTAAAACTGCAGCAGGTTCACTTTTTTCCCTGCCCGCGCCTAATAATGTTTCAAGTCAATCAGTTGCATGGTTGCTAGTATTCCACTCAGAGGTTCTTGATTAATCGTAAGAAATAAGCTCTATATATTTATCTTCTATACCACTGCGCGTTGTTAAAAGCTGACAAGCTCCGCTTTCTCAACTTAGTTCGAATAGAAAAATGCCTAATGTGGAATCCACTAGGTTAACATTTGTAAAACATATGCACACCATCTAGTGTTCTAAATTGTTATGCCTATTGAGTTATTATTAACAGATGCGGATACTGCTAAACGTCGGCGTTATTTACACATTATTGTATGCGATCTTTCAGGGACAGTGATAATCGAACACAGTCCCTGCACATCATTAACCCAGAAGGGACGGATTTCATGACATTGCCTAGAAGTAGTCGTAGTAATGTCGCTTCTAAAAACAATGATCGTCAGACAATGCTGAAATCATATATCTTAGAAATGATTTAAAGTTTGAATGTTAAAACAACATCTCTACGGTGTGATTACTGGTCTGATGTATTTATTCAAGATCACTCTTATGTTAGATGGTATCTTATAGCATTATTCAGACTTGCCTGTCTTAATGACCATCTTTTTTTCCAAGTCCCTACCATCCCAATTGATGATTTAGGTTATGATCTTTCCAACCAGTAGTTTGCATGTCTAAACCTCACTTTGTGCTTCGATGTATGCGTCCCATTAGTATCGCTATTGCTCAAAGAAAAGAGCTTGAAATCGATTGCATAGGGCTTCGCCTAGCAAATGTGTCAGACCATATTTTATACACATGCTAAAGAACTATATGACAAAAAACATCAATTCCCTGGTCCTAGGATGAAATGTTGGAGTGGGAGTAATAAGTGGTGTTTCTCTCTGATAATTAGCATTTCCACCAAACCCACTTTATCACAAGCGGAGGATATCTTTGACCTTTTTTCCATGGTGTCCTGGTGTCTAAATTAACGTCAATCTGGGATAAGGCAAAAACAAATCCTAGAATGATCATATGTGACAGATTCCAAGTTTTATGGTCACTTTCTGAAGTTAATCAATACTTCAATTACTAACTTGGTTTATTTTTCTCAGTTTTTCAAAAAGAGGTATCCTTAGGCTGTTCGGGCAGCGAGAAAAGTACACTTCTTTTGCCATCGAAGCTCTTCTTCTTTTCATTATATTCCTATTTGTATTATCAATTCACTTCAAGCTAGGCTTTTTTCCCGCGTGTCCAATCGGGCCAATGATTCAAGCTTACTAAGTGCTGTCCCTGATTTCATTAAACCGCTCTAAGATATATGTTTAACCTCCGTTTTGACTGTGGCGAATAGGATAATAGGTTCATTTTATTGTGGTACATCTGAAACTGGTGTTCAAGATCTCAGTGTGATTGTTCACTTAACTTCATTTACCCAATGTACGAAATGGATACGGTGTATCTTGAGAGTCGTTAGGGACTTGTAGTTCTCCAACTGTAGGCACATCATTGGATTCGAAATCAGAACATATATTCCTTGACTGTATACTCGTCGACAATCGCCTGCGCTTTTTCAGAATAAAAAGGACAGTACAAACACAAAACAAAGGGAATAAAGCAATTACTTCCGATTGCGTCCGAATTATTGGTTTCCGTCATAGTTCGTAGGTTGTTCAAGACCCAGGAACGATTGACTCGCGAGTAGCAGATTAGTTTTCATTATAGTCGAGGGTATCTTGATCATATCTTCACCCTTTATCAAATGTTAGAACACTCGTACTTATTGCAGACCAACGATCGTCTTGTTTCTTGAATTCAACCATTGGTTACGATAGTCACGTGGACCCCAACCAAGTAGTCTGCACCTGCCAACATGGCTCACACTAGAAGTTAGTAACTTCAAGCTCTGATGCCACGTTTTGGTTTGGCCGTCCCTAACTCTCTTCTAAACATCCCCAATACTAGTCAGCATAGCGCGTCGTGGTAATCGATGTTCAGGCACTTGACCTAACCATCTCAGTTGATGAAAACTCGCAACCTCACCAACTGATTTACCATCATTCCCTAATACACTGTGTCTAACCTCACTATTACTTACCCGGTGATCCCAGCAGATGCGAGCAATAATTCTAAGGCATCTGTGTTCAAATACTAGTAACTTACGAGTATCCTTTACCCTGAAAGACCACGTTTCGCAGCCGTAAAGTAGAACAGAGCGAACTGCCGTTTAGTATACTCGTCCCTTAATTGATAGACGTATATCTCATCTTCGTCATAGGTGACAAGTTATCAAAAGCCAAACGAGTTTTTTGAATCCGTGTTGAGATTTCGTCATACACTAACCCATTAGGGCTGATCAGACTTCCAAGATAAGTGAAGTTGTCGACACTTTCGACTACTTCACTCCCTATCCTTAGTTCAGGTGTTGACGCAGGCCAGTCCCCACCCCTCCGTATGGGAAGACAGCATCGCTGTTATGCTGGTTTTTTGAAGGGAACACCTTACTGCCGTCTTACCTCTGTATAGTCAGCAGTACGACTTCGCCTTCGGACCTTATGTTTGCTGTCTTTAGTCTGACCACTCTTCAACCGACCTGCCTGGTATGGTAGTGTGGTGTGATCTACTTATATCCATATAAGTAGTATATGGTGTGGGTCAGACATAGAATGTATTTTCGCAGAAGACCGATGAGGAAAGAACTGAAATGAAGCGCAATCGTTTGGAAAATGCATGAACAATGGAATTATTGAAGAAACAGTGAAGATTGAAACAATTGATTGTTAATTTGCAAATTGACTGTTCATTCTTTGGTAATCAGAATTTACTGAGATAGTCTGTAATCTTTGCTTAAATACATTCGATTGTCCCCAACCGGTGTTTTGTTCACTACATTTGGTGTCGCTGCCAACCAGGAGGAGGAAGGGTGCTGTTCTGCGGACGCCGCTGCGGGTCTGGAGTGGAGGTGCTTGTTGGGGCAGTCTGGTGCAGAGAGTTGGCGTCGAGTGGAGTGTTCTGGCGGGAGGCGTTGGCTGTAGCAGGTGCTGTCGTGGGAGAGAAGCAGTGGGACGTGCGGCTGCTGGGCGGACATCGGATGTAGATGGCTCAGCAGGCCGGTGGAGTACGGGTGTTGAACGTCCCAGGTGCCGGGTGGATGCGGATGTTGGTGCCCCGGCAGGTCGACGGAGCTATGGAGTTCAGCGCGCCGCAGACTCGACATTCTGACGGAGAGTTTAGCACAGACTGCAGTGGAAGAAGATAGTGGCACGGCGAGCAGAACCACCGCATGAACGAATGCTTTAAAGGGGGGACGAGTGTGGTGTGATCTACTTATATCCATATAAGTAGTATATGGTGTGGGTCAGACATAGAATGTATTTTCGCAGAAGACCGATGAGGAAAGAACTGAAATGAAGCGCAATCGTTTGGAAAATGCATGAACAATGGAATTATTGAAGAAACAGTGAAGATTGAAACAATTGATTGTTAATTTGCAAATTGACTGTTCATTCTTTGGTAATCAGAATTTACTGAGATAGTCTGTAATCTTTGCTTAAATACATTCGATTGTCCCCAACCGGTGTTTTGTTCACTACAGTAGGACCTTGAGGAACGATTGTTCCAGCCAGTTTAGCTCGATTGGTTTATCACGATAAGCAAGCCCGACCGCCACGTCAATGTAGCAGCAACGGCCATGCAATCTTTTCACAACCTCAATATTATTGTATGGCCCATGCATATATTGATGTCCCCTTGCATCAATATTTGTGTTCATGAAAATTAAAAATAAACACTGTAAAAGTTAATAGGATGTCCATTTTTTAAGTAAGTGGTAACCTCGCTCAAGGATAAATCTTTCCCGGTAGCCGTACTTGGAAGCTGTTCAGAACAATAAAGTAAACGATAAAAAGACATGTGGAAGGATACTAATGAATAGAGACTAAATAGCACGACAAATCACTATGTTCACATTTTATTGGAAGATATTTTAGAATCAGATAAAATGGTCATCCAAAGTACTACCGAAATTAGTACTGAACCGTTTTACCAAGTCTCAAACTTCGTTAAAAATAATTTCAAGGTGTCTTAACTGACTCATAGTCACTTATTCACGAATCAATGAAATCGCATATTTTTCTAGAATAGATATTAAAGTATTTCTCTGTTACTTAAACAGGAAAGTAAAAAAGATAACTTTATTTCAGTTGAAACTGCGCCAGTTAACCATTTTAATAACAAGTAAAATGTAATACGTCAAATAATTTGGAGCTTAGCAGATACTTCAGTGAATTGCTACTTATGATGATTTTCAATGACTGCCTATTTTACTTTGCTCTTTTTAACGTAGACAGAGAAAAGACCTTACAATTCGACAAATTCTAGTGCACCTCAAGTCCCATCTCAACATCCAAATCACCATGCTCGAAGCCATGCTGGTGGCTCTCAGAATACACAGATGAATCATCCATATCATGGACATAATCGGGCCCCACAATCACATGTTTATGGGAACGAACATCTCAACAGATCTCATTCTAACCGTCCTGCAGGTCCTGGGAATAATGAACCGGATCCTAAACGTCAGCGATTTGATCGCCCATTCCCAAGTCAGTGTCAACGATCACCACAACCTCACTTGTCTGGTGGACATCATCCCGACGGAACAACCCGTGTAAGTCATGTTTATGTGTATCAGTCTTGATAAGTCGACTTGTATCACTTTACTGGGAAAGTAATAAAACTTTAAATGGTGTTTAAGTTTAGAGCTTTTGGTATACTCTTTTGAGGAATATGAAGTAGTAATTATGTATGGTCATAAAATTGCACTGTTCACATCAGCTTTACTGTTATGTAGTGTTGTCAACGCACGAGATCTATTATTTAGAAAACTTTGATGTTCCCTTATAGATGACTCTTTATCACTGTCGTTTCTTTTTTCTCGTATTAGCTTTAAACTAATCTCTGAAGCCGAATCAGTCATTAGCTTTGACAGTTTATCGACATTAAGGATGTTGGGGATGCTAGATCCCCAGAAATCACTGGGTAAACGTCTTAATTTCGTAATTTTATTTTGGAAATTTGAATTTCTTATTTTCACGCCAAAAGCGCCCACTTCTACCATCAGATCGTATTTCCCACTTGGCAGGACCTTAAATGCCATTGGTTTGTTCCCTCTTTTAATGCGCTATTTTATGACGTTTCCTACCACCATTCTTATACTGTATATCTACGCTTGAGTTGCTTGCCTGTTCGTTCGTGCTTCCGACTGCTTGTGGAATATACTTTTCCCTCGGCCGAATCTGGTCTTCTCTCTCTAGTTGGTAGGGCTGGGGCTCGATGAATAGTTTACCTTGCTTTTTCGTTGTCTTGCTGATCCTTTGTTCTGTCCGCCGATTTCAGATGATCTAGTAAGCTCTTCAAACATATCAAAGAAAGAGTGTCTTTTCGTTATCTTCTCCCAACTCATTCGTGGTTAATGGCTTGCGAAGTATTTTTGGGATCCAAACATCCCATGAATAGTGTGACGTTAACCTGAATACTCAACTCCACTCTTAGTAGTTATCAGTAGTCATTTAAAGCATATCCCAATATATGTATAAATCATTTCAGTGGATTTTATCATTCTATCTAAAAATTTTGATGAGCAGTACGTACAATTATAAAACACAAATAGCATGTATTTCCACTTTTTCATCTTATTAGGGTTCTGTTCATAAACTGTAAATTATTTCAATCTTGTTCAAACTAAGTACTCGTCGAGGGATTCTGATATACTGGTTACATAGAAAACCTCATAAATCCTATACTAAGCAGGATTATTTATTTATTTATTTGAACACACAAATACTGGTACAATGGGATACCAGATACATATGCGCCACACAATAACAATAAGAATGAGAAGAGATAGAGAATGTAAGGTGCGTATAAGAAAAAAGGGAGCAATAATGAACAGAAATTAATGATTGTGAAATAATAATGGGAAAAGCAGTTCAGTTAGCAAAGGTACAATGGGAAGGTATTCTTCCAGTTAAAGAAGTTACGTCAATTTCTTATGAAGTAAAATAAAGTTATAGCAGGATCGCCATTGGCTTTTATTCTGAGCCATATATAATTACGTCTCTAGCCACTGTGTTGCACCATCTCTAGGACTGCGACCAGGGAGTCGTGAATAACCAACAGAATCCAGTCATGTACAGCATTCCTTCATACCACGACACCATGTCATACACTGACCACCTCTCCGCTTTTTCCAACTAGTCCCAGAGTCGGCAAATAATGCACGACGTGGAATTCTGTGTGACGACATTCGTAGAACATGTCCAAGCCACCATAGTCTATGTTTCAAGATGGTGACACCAATTGAATTATCCTCTCTGCGCCCGAACACTCGATGCCGAATCTCTGCATTACTAACATGGTGTTGCCACTGGATGTCAGCAATCCTTCGGAGACAACGATGATCGAACACAGAGTCGTCTAACATCCTCAACTCGGAGAGGTCAGGTTTCACAAGCATAGAGCAAAACTGCTCTCATCGACGCGTTGTATATCCGACCTTTTACAGCCAGACTAACATCACAAAGGCGCCAAAGATGACCCAGATGGGCATAAGATGCTCTGGCTTTCACTATACGTGAATTGATCTCATCACTCATGCCACCACCAGCACGTATGCAGCTACCCAGTTACATGAACTTCTCAATTACTTCTATCTGCGCTCTACCCAGGGTGAGTGCAGGATCGGGGTTCTGTCAGTCTTGTAGGAGTACTTTGCAATTCGAGGGTGCGAAGCACATACCATACCTGCGGACACTAATTACCAACTGATTAAGTGCGAATTACATTGCTTGGGTACTATCGCACAGTAAGACAATATCATCCGCATACTCAAGCAGGGGCGGGAAAATGAAACGAAATATATGATAGTCAAAAGCTGTTCTCTTCTAAGTGAAAAACCAGTGGAAAAGATCTTATGGAAATTAAATAATCTAATTCTATAAGCTTATCGATACATCATAGATGAGTGTTAAAACAAAAAGCCATAATTTTCTGTTGATTTCTTTTTAGTCAACGGTAGACGTGTTTGCTTGGATGTGTAGTTGCTCAGTTACTAAAATATCCTCGATTTTTTCCAAATGTGTATTGGTGCAGTCTGATTAAAATGTTTGCTGTGTTGCAATCGGGTGCTAAAAGAACACATTTTTAGAAATTTTGGTGTTCATTTTACAAAATATTTTTACTTACATTTTCATATTACCAGCATTCATAACAAGAAATAATTACGAAAAACAACAACAACATGTATAACATAAGTGAAGATCGTATCATTAACACATGCTGTAATTGTGGTTATAACTAGTAGTCTATAGACGCTTAATTGTATAAAATGATGTCTCGATATTTCTCTTACCTCATAAACTCAATTCCATTTAGGGTTCATGAAAGAGCTTACTTTAATTTGTGATAGTCAGGATAAGAGTAACGCTTAAACTAATAGTGTAATACTCTACGGTGTTATTTTAAATTTTTGCCGGCTCATTATTTATACTCAATGTACAATTTTTTTTTCTAAATTATTTTAAAGTAACGAGGGTTTGGATTTCTGATTATAGTAGGAGTATAATCAGAAATCCAAACCCTAATCTTTTGGATTTCTGATTATACTCCTACTACTTCTACCACTATGGGATTTGAATCGACAACTGCATCTCTGTGCTAATGTGGTATGGCAACTCGAACTGATGTACGTACGTACGAAGTTCTACGTTGTGACTGACTGACTGACTGAAAGTAACGAGGTTAAATCCAATGAAATATTTCTGTATTCGGCAATTAAATAACATAACTTGTTGCTATTGTTGCTAAATAATTTTTATTAATTTCACGAGATTAGGTTAACTTTTGGTAGTTTGAGTAACAATTAAATTAATTTTAACATATTCCATGATAACGATGTCATTAAACAGAGAATAATACAGTAGTAATCAGCTCATCAATTACAATCAAAAATTCTAATCTGTAAAAATTCAAATATAACTTTGTAAAAAGCTATATCTCCCTGACTTAAGTATGTTCACAATTAAAATCGTAATCAAATTAATTCATATGAAAAACATGACAAAGTTTTTATCTGGTAAAAAATAATAAATAGGAAATCCTAAATCATGATTTTGTGTGTATTTGGATATTGTATCTATACTACTGAAGGAACTGAGTATTCGAATCCGTGTTAACAACTACCACTTTTTAAAAAAAATTAAAGTTACTCAAAAATAGCTAAAACAAATCAGTAGTTAATATTTCTAACTGGCACCATGCAACTCAGTTGATATCATCGGGGAAGTATGTTTCAAGTTAGGAATCATAAAGTTCGAAATCGAATACATTGACTTCTAAATCAAACCTCAATTTTTTACCGCTCATATGTTTTGCATCAAACTTATCGTATTCTTGTACAGGATTCCGACTTCGCGTCATCTATTTTACTTTAAAAAGCTGCATAGTATTCCCTCATTAACAAATGGTAATATGCAGCTGATATAGAATATGAAACTAGAGTAAGAAATAACGAACAAGAGAAATGTCTTTTCACTGTCACCAGTCAGTCATTTACAACGTAGGACCAGGCACATATATTCATCGGTCCAAGTTGCGTCCTAATAGATAGTCACCTGGATATAACCAAGGGTGAGTTCCTTCACCGACGGGATTACCTTTTGTGGTATCTGGGGACTTAAATATGTCGGTCAGATGTTTAAGTACAAGGAAATCATCCAGGTGGTTGACGAGTGCTTGTTGTTCATAAATGTAATTCTGGTCATTCACGACGCCCTATACAGTCATTTTTGATGTATCAACTTGCTTCTTCGCTTTGTAAGTCAAGCATTTACCCAAAGAGCTCTAATCGAAACTAGCTGCCAATAGTGTAGATATCTGGAAGGTTTTCAACCTTCTGATATCCCTTGTCTGGGTTCTATCTGTAATCTACTACGCTCTGAATTCATTGAGTGTCCCAATAGTTTAAGTATGATGAAATGCTGAGTAGCTCATGCTAATCTGCTTCACATTAATATGGTAAAATATATATAGTGTACGTAACACTGTAGTGTTGGTATCACTTTTTTAAGCTAAGAATGCTCAATGATCCTGCGTTCGATTATCTTTGCTTACATATGGTGGCAGTGCCAAATCTCGGCCAGAGATAATCATGCTCTCGTTTTCTTTATTGTCCCAATCATGTTATTTTCATCTCGTTCTTAAATATATCTCCACTTTATTGTTGAATCTTTCTTTTTTTGCTCAGTGATTTGTTTTCTGTGTTTTACATTTATCAGTGCTTTGTTTTACCAAGTCATTTTTAATATTATTTAGTAAATAAATGTCCTGCTCGTATACTGTAAGTATGGTCCATGATTTAGTGTAATAAAACTACCTAATGAGTTACACCAATTTGTAACGTATATTACTATGTAATCTTACAAAGTAATTCCATAATTTCCTGAATTAACTGGTCAGTTTATGGTAAATGCATTTGAAACATTTCTACTTATCAGTCAGTCACAACCAACTAAGAACCTGATACGTGTATTTATCAGTTAAAGTTGCCACACCATACAACTGCGAAATAAAATTACCAGGACAAAATGGAAGGGTAGTAAAAGTAGTAACTATATCAGTGTTAGTAGTAAGAACTGGAATTAGGCAGTATGATTCGAAAATAAAGGAGTTCGCTGAATAGAAGCATAAGTTGACTCTAAATTTTAGGATGTAAGGCGAGACAAAGACTGAATCTTTATATGAAAATGTTAGATCAATCAAGGCTATTTGAGTCAATAATCACAATGAAATAGAATATGTAACCAAGCGTAATAGTTAAAAGTACAAGTTGATGGTGGGAAGACAGGTGTACTGATAGTAGTAAGAATAAGTAGTGAGAAATAATAGGTCAAACATGGGTAAATAGACTAGAATAGTAATCACAAAACATTAAAATCATTACGTAATAAGAAGTATGTAAGTAAATAGATGTGGAGAATACAAACGGAAGATAAGACTTTTGTTATCGTAATTTAAAGACTGAATCGCGTATACCAGTGCGGCCTATTTTAAGCCATGTAACCCTTCGTCCCCAAATCATTGGTTACAATACTGTACAAACCCCGATGACGTAGTCTAAATCTTCCAACATGGCTCAATCCAACTCTTAGTGACTTCATTGACTGTTGTCACGTTTTGATTCTATCGCCTCTAGCTTTCTTCTGACCTACTCCTACACCAGCCAAAATAAAAAGATTGTAGACATCGGTCCAGCCTAAGCAATACATGTCCGAACCACCTTTGGTTTGGACATGTACTACATATATATGGTAGACGTAGACTATTTGATTGATGTCCACCTGATGACTCTCAGTCAGCGTTTGGAGACTTTGAACAATATAGCTCAGAACCGTTCACAATGACGCAGATGCATTCACCTTTTATTTACCTCTCGTTCTTGAATTACTGTATCCCTTCATACATAACTTCTATATCTTTCTAAGCCGTATTTTAAAGGTTTGGTTTTTCATTGCTATACTATTCCGATCTATTTTTGGTTTTCATTTTATTATGATAGTCTGGTACGGTAGCTTGGTGTACACACATCTTTGCTAGGCTTTATGTTGATGTTTATCTGTTCCAACAACCCCTCAGTTGATAACGTTTCATTACCTCATCAACCGGTTTGTCATTTTCGCTTAAATAATTTTTGTCTAACCTCAACATTGCTTACTAGGTAGACGAAACATACTTAAGCCATACCTCAAAGGGACCAGTGATTAAATCCCAGTAACCCACAGACATTCTCTATCTTTAAAAGTCACGTGTCTCAGACAGAAGGGACGAGACGAACTACTAGTTCTTTGGTTAGCAGATAAACACGCGGCTTACATCACAGGTGACTTAGATTGAAAAAAAGCCCAGATGACTTTTTGAATTCGTCTCAAATTTTCACATATCATTAGTTCTAATGATATTTCTCATATATTTTCACTCACATTCTACGGATATATATTCAACACTAAGTTTTGCATAGTTTGCAGCATACTGATAAAATTAATAATTAAATAAAAAGGGAATGAACTATTCTCAACAAAAGTGGATGGTAAATTTACAGTCTTCTTAAACGCACTCACTATAAAACTTTTCTTTTTGATAGATAAGAAATAAATTATAGGTTTTAGGTTCACTGTTTTTTAATGCTAAAATTAAGTAATTAATTTAGTCAGGTGTTCAAGAAAAGTATGGTCGCAATATATACATATATAATTTATCATTTGTGCTCATTATTCTTCATATTTGGACTCTGTAAATAAAGTTGTGACTTACAAGATAATTTACAATTTTTACGTCTATTGATTAAAAATGTTGTTCTTGGAATGCATTTTGCGCTCCTTATACTAGTAATACACTAATTGAAAATTTTTGATTATCAAGAAATATTACAGTTGTAAAAAGAATCCCATTTGTAGTAATCACCAATATCTATGTTGATCATTTCAGTACTTCAGTTTATTTAGTGAAAGTTAATAAATATTTCTATTGCAAACTCGTCATTTTCCGTATGGACTTAAGTATTTTCCAGATTTATCATAACACTAGAGTTCTAACTTTTAGAATGTCTTATTAATAGTTTGATGTTCTTTTTAAAATTCATGGCTTCTTTTAACTGTATCATTTTGTATATATTAGAATTTATGCATCAAGCGTAAATTGCAAGCTCACATTCTGAACGGCTTCGTTGTTAAAACCCTAATATTGCGTTTCAATTTAAAAACCCGCTCTATCTGCTTCTGTTAACCGTATCTCTAACTCATAAAAATCAGTGCATCCAAGCGACCACTTAGGCTTTTAACCGGTTAGTGTGTTGCATTATTTTTGTATTGTTTCTTGTGATAAGTAGCTTTTTGTTTGCCGTACATTTATCATACTTTCACGAAAGCTTACCTACAAATAAATTTAGGCAAATCGTATGGAGAGTTCTGTCTCCAATTCTGGAGGTGGCGAACACAAAGTACATTATCAACCTGCTAATCGTATCCATGGAACAGATTACAGGATGACACAATCTACTGGTTACAATGCTGTTCCAAATAAGGTTTGCAAGATTGATCTTAAAATTTTATTTGTTTTTCGTGTTGTGATATTTTTTCATAATTCCGCTTCACGAAGAGCATAATAATTGATTCCTTTTTCGTTACAGCTATTGACGGTTCATAAGTATACGATTACAATGACCAATATACTTCCATTGCTTAGGGAATAAACCCATATATATATATATATATATATATATATATATATATATATAAGTGAAGATCTTTTGTAATTTAAATAAGGATTTGATCAGGCTTCGTTTGTGTATGCTTCTTGAGCGTTTATATGTATATATAAAGTAATGGTTACTGAGTCTCAGTTTTAAGGAAAGCATCAAGGCTAAAATGAAGACATGTTTGTCTGAACAGTTTTAAATAGATTAAGGTACACTTTTTGGATCCCTTTGCTTGGCATTATCAGTTTGTTAATATTACCAATGTAAACTTGTTTTTTCATAAATGCAATATTCTAACAAAACCTGATAAACTTAGTACCGTAATATCAATAAGAACAAGATCAAAACACAACAATTTATGTGTTATACTTCTCTACTCATACTCAAATTCAGTCAACAATTAATAATAATTTAAATTTGTTTATTTACTTTGGGTCTCATATTGTTTAGCATTACACTAGATGTATTGTAAAAACCATATTTTTTATTGAACTGATCAATAAGTTTTTCATTGTGTATTGCGTAATACTTATAGAAGTTAATATAGTTTATTGTTCTTTCCCGTCCAAACTTGTCAATACTCGTAATTATACTTGTGAACACGTTTTTTTTCATTTCTTAAAAGCCACCTTACGGACGAGATGAACATGAAGACTCACGTCTTAACTCAGGGAATCCTCGTTCTGTAAAACCAACTGGTCATCCACAAGGAAACACACGAGTGAAGCCTGATCTAAATGACTATTTTTGAATATTTTCTTGATTAATATAGTTTTACATGGTGTGTACATTTTTTGTCACATTCCTAAAATTCCGCATACAGATAGCGTTGTACATATGTTAAACTGCTTTTTCTTTGTTTAAAAGTATAACTACTTGCAGTTTGTTGACTCAGAACAGTCAGTTCGCCTTTCGTATTTGTCTAGTCTTTTAAGATCAACTGTAAAGTCTTTCTTCTTTTCCCATTACTGTGTTTACCAGTAGTGAATGTTTTTTTTGTTGTTTTTGCGTAAGAATTTTTATATTAATTGCTTTTATACGAATAGTTTGGTACTTTTTTGTATTTCTTAATACATTTGTGTAGTTATTATTGTTCGATGTCTATTACCAATTTTCTTTGTATTGCCATTTATTTTGTAGTACATTGAACCATAAAGAATAATTTTCAGTTACTAATGGATTTAAGACTTTGTATATGTGTGCTGTACATGAAATGGGTTCAGGTTACAGTCACGGATTTTTACATGAAATCTAAATTATTCTATACAGCTGTTCAGATACAAATAGCGCGACAAGATGACCGCAAACTTCATTAAGTTCATGTGGCTGATTGACTTCATACCACTCATAATCCAGTTTTGTAAGTCTAGAATTTGGTCTTAAAAAACGTCGACAATAATCCCTCTAAGTGGTTTACCTATGCCAGTAACTGATTCTCCAACAGTAAATGCAATACATTATTTGTAGCAGACCAGTGCCCTTCATTCTTATATCCACCATATTTATAGATTGCTGCTCTGTCTTGATTCTTTATTCTCAGGGTGTAAAGATATGTATCTAGTAAAATTTCTGTCTTCGAATCTTTACTAACCACCTATTATTAAGGGATAATCAGACTATATTGTGAGACTGACAATCTTATCTCAACCACAGTTAGGCACAATACATTGTGATGCAAGATTACCTTCAGTGGTCTGCATTCATTCAGCACTGATTAGGCGTGGTGTCTGCGCTTGTTGATGATTCCTCTGTACTTGGTTTGCACATTTATTACGAATTCCAAATATTATACATTCGATCGTACACATCTAGTTCTAACTGCATTAGAATGCAGTGAGCACATTGCTTCCAGTACTTATAATCGCACTCATAACTCGAACCGAAGTTTCGAGAAACAAAGGGTTTCAGTGTTATCCCAGTGCTTTCTGGGATATCAGGTGAAACGTTTTACTATGCAAAATAGGGCTTATGAATTATTCTGTGCTTTAAAGAGAGAGCCTGAGGTCATCTTATAAGCTTACTTTGAATGACAACCCACAAGCAAACGGGTTGGTAGAACGCTTTCACCAACAACTTACAGGTTGACTATCAGCTACAAACCTTTCACAATGGACCGGCGCACTTTCACTCGTCTTACTAGGTATTCACAATGCAGTGAAAGCTGACATTCAAAACATCGCAGCTCAACTAGTTTAAGGAACAACACTCCGACTTCCAGGAGAATTCGTAGATCCTTCATCTTCAATGAACATGGATCTAAACTCCTACACGAGCAAGCTTACAAGTGCAATGCTTTCAGGTATGCCTGTTTCCACTCGACCGGAATGAACTGATGTTTTGTTCAACCTGACTTACGATATAGAATACATGTCTTCGTAAGTCGAGACTCACATGGACGACCCATCGAATCAGCATACGAAGGACTCTTCAGCCTGAACCCAAATACTATATCGTCGACAAGAACGGCATTAACGATAGTATCGGCATCGATCGAATCAAAAGCAGCGTATTTCAAAGGAAATCACATCCACGTCAATTTTCCTTCGCTACAATTGAACGACACGGCTGCTATACGTATAATACCTCATCCGACATCTAACTTGCACTTCGATGCTTTGATAGTATCTGAAAATAACGCTTTCTGGAAGAAGGGTGAGTTTTCAGGAACATTTAAACGACTATTGCACGTAAGACACCAGATAACATTTTGTTTTATCTCGGCTTTCCTTTGTATTACATATAATAAAAAAATTTAATATGCTTATACTTATAATTATTTCAAAAGAAACAAAAACAAACGGATTTTTTCTCAATATGTGCATAGGACGGTTGGAAAAGACGATAAGATGAGCCATGAAGTTTACGAGGAACCAAAATTTGGATTATTATTTGTTTCCTCATTAGTGTATTGTACTTCATGGCCAGAGGCTGCTGACCATAGCAAGCTATCAGAAGAGTGTTTACCAAAAACAAACTCGTTGGGTTGAAACTTCTGGCTGGCCACGTTGTAGGGTCGTCACTACCCCACTAAGGGGAAGTGATCTGTAGAGGTAAATAAATCCCCAAAATCAATATCTCTGTAAGTCCTCGACATTTGATGTTGACCACATTATTTTTAATGTACTCGCCTAGCTGAAGGCGCTCGGTCATGCATTGGCATCAGATCACGGGTGTGAACATTATTATCAGCTTCTCCTGCGATCACTTGCCAGTTTAGATCAGTCACATCTCGACATATTGATAATCTATCAAATATGTCTTCAAACCTGCTCGCTTCTGCCTTTTGATTTCACTGGATGAGTGCGATTCAACTCTACAAAACACATGATGGCTTAATTATCGTAATACTACAAACGCACCTGAAGATTCTATACTGATTTGCGGGACAGTACATTAATAACTTACTAACATGTTAGATAAGTGGCGAAGTTATCAATGACAGGGTAGAGATACACCGTGACCAATCAAATGGATGTCTGCAGAACAAGCTCTGAGTCATATGTGGAGAAATTTGAACACTTCACTTCTAATTGACGTTTGCGCTGAATATGTCATGCATAAATGCAATGAGAGATGGGCTGTAGAATTATACTGCTCAGAAGGGAAAAAGTAATCCGAAATCAGTCGTATGAACTACATATCTTCTACACCATTTAGAAGTCATATGAGCGCAACATGCTTCTGGTTGCTCAAAAAGGAGACTCTCTAAAAGACAGACTTTCACTCAAAAACAAGTTTTTTCTCCATGAATGTTTTTGTTTGTATATTCTGCCAGTAAGTGTGGGCTGCACACCTATTATAAACTTCCCTATGTATGAAGAATAGCTGGACAAAGCGAAAGAAAATTGACTGGACGACTTAGACTTTGCAAATGATCTGGCTCTTCTGTCACGCACGCAACAACAAATGCAGAAGACGGTCAGCGTAGCAGCAGTAGTAGGTCTCAATATACACAAAAAGAAATGCAAGATTCTCTAATGCAACACTGTATGCACCAATCGAATTACACTTGACGGTGAAGCTTTGAACGACGTAAAAACTTGTACATATCTGAGCAGCATAATTGATGAACACAGTGAATCTGATGGAGGTGTGAGGCCGTAGATCGGCAAAGCAAGAGCAGAATATTTACAACTGAAGAACATCTGGAGTTCAAAACAACTGTCTCTCAACCAGCAACAAGTTCAGAATTTTCAATACAAACGTCAAGACTGTTCCACTGTATGGGGCGGAAACCTGGAGAACTATGAAAGCCATTATCCAGAAAATACAGGTGTTTAATTACAGTTGTCTACCCAAAGTACTTCGGATCCGTTGGCCAGAAACTTTCAGCAACAACCTACTGTGGGAGAGAACGATTCAGATTTAAGCCGAAGAAGCTCTGAAAATGCATAGGACACACATTGATGAAAGCACACAAGTGCGTCACATGGCAATTCCTCCCATGGAATCTTGAAGGTCAAGAGAAAAGAGGAATCCTGAAGAACGAATTACGCCGGGAAATGGAGTTAGACATGAAAAGAAAGAACGAAGGTGGGATTGAATTAGATAAGAAGGCCCAGGACAAAGTTGGATGCAGAAGGCTGGTCGTAGGCCTATGCTCTATTAGGGGTAACAGCCCTAAGTAAAAAAGTATTATTAACTGATGCAAACTACAGGGTACACAAATATCATTTCGTCTTAGTTGATCATCAGAAAAAGTTAGACAGAATACACACATCAGAAAATTTGTCAATCTTTACAACAGCCATTGAAATTTAATGCGGACGATACAGATTACAGAAAAAACACTTTCAAGAAAAATCTAATCAAGATTTCAAAACCTTCTAAAGAATAAAACACAAACTGCGTGATCTGCCTGTTAAGACAACTGCTGGCGTACATAGGAGAAAATCCACTCTATAAAGGAATAAACTAAAACGCAAGTGAAGCCAGGAAACTAAAATTCTTAGCCGTACTGAAGTCAACACTCAAAACTGTCGGAACAAATGAAGAAACTCAACAGGAATGAACTTAAATAATAGTACTGCCAGCTGAACAAGAGATAGAAAAAGCTAAATGGACCTTATAACAACAAAATGCTTCAAAGAAACTCAGAAGTTTAGAAGATATAGTTAAAGTCCTAGGGAACGAGGGATGCAGTACAGTGATAATAGACAAGGCTAAATATATTAAGAAAATCGATGAACTACTTGAGGATAAAAGCATATAAAAACCAATTGACACAAATCCAGTAAACGGATCAGGGAAACAAATTTCAAGGACTTCAAACAGGCTTGTAAATACAGAAAAAAATGTCAGAGCTGGATCAATTCAGAATCGAATCCAGTGGACCAGTACTGTGTTGATTCTATGTTAGGCCGTAAAATATATAAAAATATATAAAAAATACATAAACCAAGCATTTCACTACGTCCAGTTGTAGCACTCACCATAAAACAGCACATTTTTCTGAGAGGATTTTCATGGATATTGAAATATTTCATGGATTCATCTAATCATTCCATTGAATCTCTCATACGATTCCCGGATAGGATTAAGAAGACTCAAATCTACACGGAAGAAATTAAGATATCCTTCTATGTAACAGAATTATTCAACCAAGCTTAGCAAAGGAAACTATATCCCTGCTACTCACCAACGACACCAATCGCAGAAAAACAAACATACTTATTAAAAATAATATTATATTCTTCATATAACTGAGAAATTCACCCAGAATAATATAATCAGGTGGCTAAAAGAAATGATTGTAACGGTGCTTTAGCATCAAGCAAGCACAATAAAACTAGTTGAGTTATGCTAGCTCGTACAAAGATATTGGATATTGGCTGCTGCATACTCGTATTGTTTAAACGCACCACATGACTTAAAAGCTATAGTGATTTATTGGTAGTTTGTTGAATAATTCTATTCTATTGAGTTTTTGCTTCTTTGAAAATAGCCTACTAAATAAAAAAATTCGTTAATCACATCTGTACATATGATTTCCCACTGGTGGTTGCTTGAACAAGTAAAGAGTAGTGAGTAATTGACTGAATAGGCCAATATGCTTAATTACCCAAGCAATTGGTTAGCCAATAAAGTGGAAAATGCTTCGAAAATTAAGGAGAGAATAATAGGGAAACGCTTTCTAATGTCTGATTTTTTACCAGTCCAGAGGAAATAATGCAGACGTTTCTATTTATTCTGGTGAATGTGTACTTTTCGCCTTAACGGTCTATTTTTCTCTTGAATACACACTGATTTATCTACTTTTGCTTCAAATTTTCGCTTTAGCTACATGAAGGTTTACTCACGGTTATGTTCGTTAACACTGAAGAATTAACCCATAGAACAGTAGAGAATAGTGATGACTTAAAATTAAAACGTACATGTTCTTGTTTTCTTCGATGACGCTTTTGTAATATGTCCCTCATGTCACGAAAATACTTTTGCGTCGCGATGTCATACAGATCCGCAAAGTTTTTTTTCGTTGACAGATGATGATCTTCCGTGGTGATTGAAACGCGTCTTGAGCTTATTAACTGAAGGACAAATACTTTACTCATCGGTGAAATTACCTTTTTGACAATGACAGCCATCTGATCTAGTTGCTTACTACATGCTCTCAGTGACAAGATATTTTATTACCTAAGCTTCATAACAGCAAATTTATGAGGTCTTTATGCCCCTTAATTTGTTAAAATTCCAGGTTATTATTCATTTATCAACCCTTAGGTTCTGAATATTGTTGTACTGGACTCTATATTCAATGTATTTATATAATTACTTATCCTTCTCGTGGAATGCTGCGAAGCAGATGAAGAGTACTCTTGTTAGCATTTTTTTGAAAAGACTAAACATATAGAAATTGTTTTTTATCTTGTCGATAATGGTGTTAGCAAAAGCGTAAGACTTCGTGCTGATCTTGATGTTTGTTACACTAACCTTATAGCTAATTCTAAGAGTGAAAATCCGAAGATGTTGAAATAGAGTAAAATTTCAGATTTGTCTTACTTTGAAGCAGAAACCGGAAATTAAGATGTTTACTCTTATTTCCACCTCCATTCTTGCGCGATAAGACAAATAAAGTTGTTTTGGTTATTCTTTGAAGTAAATTAGCGGAAGAATAAAAATTCTCAAGTACTGATTCTTGATACCAAGGTATCAAGTAAACAACTGCCACAAGTCAACCATATATGACTAGTTCTTCTTTCGTCAGTTCAGTCGTCTGAAAGACTATTCAACCAATGCTGAAAATACTAAGGATAAGCGACGAATTATTATTATGAACTGTTTTCCGAACCTCTTTCCCAGTTTGTTGAGATCATCATCGAAGTATTCACCGTACGAACACTTGTTCAGTGCGTCGACAGAAATCTTAAGATCTGACACACTTTTGATTGGTTATATGTGAAACGATGCCACTGCTCATGAAAACCGATGCAGTCAGAGTACAGGTTAATAAGGCTTTCATCGACAGAATCCGAACATTAAGTTGGAAAAAAAAGTCAAAGACAAATAGTATGCATTAATAAGTGGCATATTTTCAATCTCAAACTATCATCATGACATAATCAGATAAATAAGATTCATCTCCCATTTATGAAGATCAAATTGTTAATGGGACATAGATGGGTTTAAAGACGTCCCATGTACGATTGTAATAGTGCACGCTGATTAGCTTTTTCTTAACCAATCAGCGCTAGTCGATACCCAGACAAGATTCTAGAATCTCATGTAAAAACCATAAATATACTGACACTTCTCTTATTGTGCTTCTTGCTTCCATCTACCCTCGTTATTTGGAATATAATTTCGTCCCTGTCCAACCGTGTTCTAAATTGGGGACCTGTCAACTGAATTTGTGCCCAAGGGTACTTAGCATTATGAATAACTAGATTGTAATGAGGGAATATATAACACAAATAGAGAATATATAGCCTGCTGTCCTCATGATTCGATTGTTTATCGTTTATCTTTATTATTTATTCGTATTTTTCTTGTTGTTGAATTTCATTAGAATTCAACTAAATGAGTCGATTGTATGACAATTATTAACCAACAGTGATCGATAAGCAGTTGCTAAATGATGCTATACTTTCACTATTGAAAAAAGGAACTGTGAGTGAACTTGCTAAACAAGATGGAATCCATTTTGAAAATGTTACACATCTGAGATTGGATTATAAAAGTAAACGAGTTTCCAATTCTATTGTTGTGCAATTAACTAGACATTTTAAAAATGGATAACTTGTGGGCATTTAAGTCACTTGTTAAGTTGCAACTTGACAATAACATCATAGAACGAATTGAAGGCATTGATCATTTAACTCACTTACGTTGGCTTGGTAAGAATGTAATTCGATGGTGAAACATAATAACTACTTTTATATCCTTTAGATTTATCATTTAATAATATTGAAAAAATTGACGGCTTACAAAACTTGGTAAATTTAGAAGATTTAACATTGTACAATAACCGAATTACATCATTAGAAAATATGGAAAATTTGAAAAAATTACAAGTGTTTTCAGTTGGTAACAACTATATTACTGAATTTTCTAATGTAAGCAAAACTATTCATTAGGATGTGTTTAAGAGTATAGATGGCAAAAACAAGGTTTCTAGATTTCACATTGGATTACATTTTACAATAGCTTTAAGAGTACCACTAAAATATAATCTATCGCATGCTAAATGTATGTTCCTCATTTATATCAATATCACCTTATACTCTCAGTTTTGACGCTTGGATCTTTTGATGCGATTACTAATTGATTATTTTATTTTCATATCAGTGTTTCACTGTTCTATTCGTTATTTGTAACTCATTTAATTGACATGTTAACATTATGAATTGGATGTAAAATATAAATGTACATTAAGTAGATAATATAACTGATTGAATCAAAAGATGTAATAGGTGTTTACATCTTCATTTGTGGTTTGTAAAATTATCAGTAAATGATTGAAAAAGCGGTTATTAAAATCCAAATAAAAAGTGTTTGGAAGCTAGTAATTTGTAATTAACAGATATTAATATAATTACTAATTGAACTTTGCCAAATATCCCGATTTTGTATGGAATTTAAAAAGTTATATTTTTGACGTTTTACGTCACTCCGAAGAAGTGGCTTACACTAAGGTGCTAAGCGTCAAAAATTTAATTATCTACTCATATGAATATTATAAATTTACTATTAGTTTTACTATGAATAATTCATCCAATCCTTAGTTTATTAGAAATTATCAAGTGAAACCTTAGTAATGATAGTTAATAACAAATGAATATCAAATCCACTCTATGGCACTAGAATATATATGTATAAATATTATACGGGTTTACTTTTCAATAAAAGAAATAACTCAAACCACAACACACTAATTGGAGTTTGAACATTATTAATTCTATTCATTAGGTGAACAAGATTGATCGTTAAGTATGAGTAATGTCATAGTTATCAATAAATATTACCTTGAAGAAATTCCGCATCATATATTGTACTTCATAATATCAGGGATATGCTTCAAGTGTTTAGTAAAACATGATGGTATATATGGTATATTGCTTGACTTTCGACTACTGGACTACAGTTTTGAAAATCTCTCCACTTACTTTAATCTGAGCAGTTGGGGATTATCACTAACTCTCAAACATTAAGTTCGATTCAAAACGGGGGTTCACAGACCTATTCTTAATCGCTGAAGTATATTTAAAGTTGTAACTAGGTAAGAATTTATTCACTTCTGAGAATCAAGCAATCACCGAAAAGTGTCTTAAATTTTATGTCAGTAATGCAGCCGTAATCTATAAATGGGTTGGGAACATGATTTGCATGAAGACTGGAGTATATATGAAACACCTCAAAAGTATTATTTTTTTACCGATGTTATCACAAAAGGACCATTCATCATCTCTTAGATAGACGTGATATTATGGCCAAGAACCAAACATTAAAGTCAGGTCTTATTTCATTGGAGAGTGAGTAACTTGCGAAACCGATTCCGTCCAGTTGCCTTTGACATTTATTCGTAATTATTTTCCTCTTAATAATATAAGTGTATGTATATTATTTTGTTCAAACAAGATTTATCCTTTTAGCTATTGGTATTGCCATTATTATTAGTTTATTTGCTTTCATGGACATCCATATCTAAACCACATGATATTATCACATTTTATTTATCGATTAGCACTTCCATTTATCTTAACAACTAAAATCCTCATTCCTAATTGGTCATTCGTCTTAACTTTCCGAAAAATCAGTGCAAACCAAAAAGGTATTGCATATTTATATCATTCAATTGTTCAATTTCAGGATGACACGCACTTACACGCCCATATGAAATCGAACCTAGAATATTCAGGTCTGATATGAACAAGATATTTCTTTATTATCGATTTTCAATCATTTATCTACTGTTATTAATCCATACTGAAAACTAACTAATTTAATCAAACCTACCTATCCATCTCTGTATTAATATGTCACATTTTTTTATTTGCAAATATTTCAGTGTTAATTTTTGTTCATTAAAAGATTAGGAAAATGAATAAGACTAACGTTTTTTTTAAATCAACATTTTCATTTCATACAGATAAAATATTTACGTCAATTCCGCCATTTACGATCAGTATGTTTACATGGTAATCCATTTAGTAAAAACGATGGCTACAAGTTGTATATTCATGCTATGCTACCCAATTTATTTTATTTAGACTATCAAAGAACCGACGATAAACTTGTAAGCTGTTTTCTGAAGTTCTCTTCTAAGTTCACCTATTTCATCTTTTTAAATTTTTGCTAAGGATTCAGACAAAATGATCGAGTTATGTTTAAAATTATAAATCACTGCAGTAGATTATTTCATAATACTGTACTATTATCAGTAAAAGCACCAGCTAAATATTTTCCAAATTTCAATTATTGAGATTTCCAAGGTTTTTATATGCGTCTATATACGATCAATGAGGAATTACTTCTTGTAATAGTTATTAAAGATAGTTTATAAAGAGACACACGATAAACTAGGTAGTAGTTTAGTTATCTATGTCAAATTCAATAATGACAAGCAACTATTCCATGCAAGCTATAAATAGAAATTATTGCACGTGAACAAACGTGGAATAAACTCACAAGAAATAACAATAAACCATTAAGTATGTCAGGAGAAGAAGAATAAATCGATTAAATGTCACGAGTTCATGTGAGTGCTTAAATATATCACACATATAACTACGAAAAAGTACGATAAGTTAATTGTTCAAGAATGATTGACAATGATATAAGTTGCTCAATATTAGGCTAAACAATGCTATTTCAGCGAGAAAATTTTTTTTCGTTAAGGCTGTACAGTTGTATTTGTATCTATTTTGCACATAGAATTCTGTGGTAAAATTGAAGACTGTTGAATTATTGGCAAAGGTACCAAAAGTTAATCATTTCAAGTATCGAGTGAAATTGTTTAATAGTCAATAGGTGATAAGAATGAAGATAATATCGAAAGAAGAGTGAATGGCTGTTCAGTAGTCGAATATAAGGAAGAACATGTGTCAAAACCTCGATTTGAGAAAGGAGTGTTAGAACTATGATGAAATAGATGATTGAACATACCTGTTCTGAACTCAAAAAGCTTGATTGATCTGATAGGTTATCATAACCTCCTTTATCCACCAGTTTCTTATTCAACTCCCCTTAAAACCAGTCTGCCTGAATAATTTTGAGTGAAAATTCTAGTTGAGATAGGTAGCAGGCATTGATCAAATGGTCAATAATCTAACCATTAACTGGTTTGCATTCATCTTTATATACCAATACTGAGTAGTTTTTGGATAAACTTTAGAAAAGAACACACTCTGTGCTGCCAATAAAACATGATCTTCAGGGGAAAGCAAAAACTGGTGAATATATATTTAAATGACCTAATATGACAGTTTTTCCTCTGATAGATAACTTATTCAATGATATCTAAAAGATAAACTCCCACTTTTAATTTCTCTTTAGTTTGTTCTGTCTGTTTTCTGTCCCATTTTATCCTTCCTTTTCATCTCTCTACCAATTTCTCATTCAATGAAATCAAAGTTTCAGATTTTCTTTCATTACAGAAATCCAAATCTTATGAAGAATATCAACTAGAAATTGATGGAATTGTAAGTGAAGAAGAGACTCAATTGAAATCAGATAAAGAACGTGTTGAAAAAAGCTAAAATAGAACTATATAAACAAGCATTTATTGATGGTATAGTTGATGAAAATATTTTTCAAAAACTATTTACTGATGATCCTGATGGCAGAGAATTATTGGTAGTTCCTGAATTGTACAACAGTATTGAATTATATCCTTTTTCTGGTTCACTTATTGAATACTCGACAATTATTTATTATTTTTATATGCGATAGACTGAGCAAGTCCAGTAGTATCACGTGCCTGTGCTTGCATCCCATCCAAATACCAAGCACTGAGATATAATAAATAAGGCACGCTACTGGATCAAGTCAGTTATTCACAGTACTACAGTCTTAGCCTTTATATCTTTGTTCAGATTTAAAGAATATATATAAATATACTTCATTTAGCTTTCCACCAACAAATATTCAGTCATTCTTAGTCATCGCACTTGAGTAGCAGGTTGGACAAACGTACAGGAAGCGTGTTTATCTGTACCTGAATCAGGCGGCAATGGAATGTTATGTTAAAACTAGAAATATTAAAACTATTGAAGAACTGATAGTATTTTTTGAAGTAATAGCCCTACTTATCTCAACTGAGCCAAAGCTCAAACAAGACTACATTGCTGCTCAAAACGAATGATCCAGAGAATCTTTACATGCATGTCACCCATTAATCATTGGATGTTTTAAAATAGACCCAATCCTTCAGTCAATAAGAAGAATGATACAAAATTGCAAGGTAAGGGAACCAAACCAAATAATGTTAGCACAACTATGAACAACAAATAATCGAATTTGGTGTAAATAAAGAGTAGACAATCTAGCCGGGTGGATCCTTTTTCAGAATCCTCCTCCTGATCTACAGATCTTCATCTCAGAACTGTAAATACGATATGTCGTTTGATCATCATCTAGAGAACAGCGAATAACCCGTGAGCAATGAACAGTTGTTTCCACCTATTCAAGAACTACATGATATTGTGTTTCCACTACCCCATACGAAATTGAACTCAAAAACTTTAGATCTCGCAGCGATCACCATACCTTTAGATCACTAGATTTTTCAAGTGATATCAATCTGTTACGTTAGCTTTATTCAAACTATCGATATCTCTACAAAAAAGCATCAACTATATTATTAATTTATGTAGCTTATGTTTATTACTTATCATAATTTAAAGATTGTCTCCTCAAAATGATTAAGAAGTTAAACGGTATACAATATTACAAGCAAAGATGGATGGTGGCTAGTAGTAGAATTCAGAACGCGCGTTTCGTCTCATTTATGACTCGTCGGCTGGATATTCAGATATTGATTTTTGAATAGTAAGAAAATTTGAATGAGCCAGTAATATATGAAAAATGTTCAAAATTTTTTAGGAACTATGAACTATGAAGAACTATATATATGAATCCTAATATTATCATTAACTAATCGAAATTCCAGTGAATAAATGAATTTTCTGTCTACTAACAATGGTATACTAATTTTTTTCGGTTTATTAAAAAATTAAAGAACAAATGAAAAAAAATTTTGATCATCGAATTGTATGAAGAATGAGAAAAGTCAAAGAAATGATTGTGATGTTAAACATGAAAAATAACTTTCTTTGTCAGTAGATATGACTCGATTATAACCTATTTATAGTTTAAATATCCTAGTGACATCTAAAATTTGATTATGCAATCGACCGTAGTTGAAAATGAATATATTATATTCATGTGATATATTGGTCAAGTATATGTTAATGTACTAGACTTTCAGTGAAACACTTTAGTTATGTAACGGTTTCTAAGATGACCCAGATATCTAAACTAAAGTAAACGAATCGGAATTCAATTCTGTGATTTACCAGTTGAAAATTAATTAGTAAGCTTTATGGTATGGATTGAATTAGTATAAAACTCTGATCATTTATATTATCCATGTATATACATCATATCTGATTGTTTGATGGTGAAGAAAATCTCAACATGTAAACTAACAGTATATCTGACAGTCATTAATCAATATACACTATTATAAATGTCCATAGAGAAAACTGTTGTATAATGCTTTATAACTGTAAGTTATTAGATTTAAACGATACAAATTCGAGTAATTTAACAATATTGTGAATCATTGACAGTTGAACTGAGTTGGTTGCACTGAGTTAATGTTCACTCAATATGCTATTCTTGAACTAGTATTTGGAAGTATATAACTGAAACTGTTATATTTTTGCAAAAAAATGAAAACAAACATTCGTCGAAAATATATAAGAACTTTCGTCTAAATTAGAGAGAATAGTTTCACAGTATTTGGGCGCCGAATTGATGTAAGACATTAAATAGAAATAGTATATATTTGTAAAATCTCAGAAAATGAATTTGAAGTAAAATATTTTCTTGAAAAAGCTTGGACCAGATTTCCAGGCGAAACGTTGGATTTACTTCAAATTCATTCGCTGAGATTTTACAAATATATATTATTCCTATTTATTTGTTGAAAATGTTTGAATATTCATTTCATTTGATCTAACATCACTATTCACCTTAACTTGTATAATTTATATGAATATTGTTAATAACAATGATGATGATAATAATAACAATATACCTTCTCAGAAAAATTTACACATCAATGTAAATTAGTATTTGATCTTGGTATAAAAGAACATGATAAACGTAATAAAGAAATAGAATCATTTCGAAATTGTATTGATCAAGCAAAAATGTTAAATGCTGAATTAAGTAAAAAGAAAATAAATGAATTTAAATTATATCAGGATAAAGTAAGTGAATTCTTAAATACTTTTTTATAATCTTCTTAAAATTCAAACAAATCTATTTTATTATTTTCATAGTTGAAAGTGTGAGTCAATTGAAGCTAGACCACCATGGAAAACTTGGAAGCATTGGACGGCCGTTTCAACCTATTGTGGGACTCCTCAGCAGGGCGCATCCACGACCTCACCTCGCGAGATTCGAACCCAGGACCTACCAGTATCGCACCAGAGCACTTAACCGATAGACCACTGAGCCGGCATATGATGGTGTTAATGTCTAACCTCAACCAATCCACGAAGATGAGCAACCGTTGGGGAGTCCCACAATAGGATGAAACGGCCGTCCAGTGCTTCCAGGTTTTCCATGGTGGTCTAGCTTCAATTGACTGATGATTTCAACTATGAAAATACTGAAATCTCCACAAAAACCCTTCTGATCTACAATTTAGTTTTGACAAAGATTTCTTCTAATAGACGTTAATCATCATCTAGTATCGATATCATTTGGGCAATCATTCAAAACTAAGGGTGAAGGATAACTGTTTTGTCCAAACGCATTTTCCATCGAATTAATTTAAGACCTAAAAATCTCCTTGATCGCATGATGTGATTCATCTAGTGCATCGGAATATAAAAATAAACATTTAGTAAATTTCAGTTAATTTATGGTAGAGCACAATAAACATTCAATTTATTCAGTGGTTATCGACACAAATCCCAAATTGATTAAATATAAAAATGATATTTACTAACCACAGCTTTGAGGTTTCTGTGAATAAAAAAGTTATATTAATTCCTAATTTATCAAAAAGAAACACATTTTAACAAACAAAACATGTGTACAATTAATTTACTTGTAATTATTAATTTGGGGATGTTTTTTTCTGGCGTAATAAAATCAAAGGAGTGTTGTGGTGTATGCTACTTATGTCAACAGACATAAGTAGTATGTGACATCAATTGAAAGTGGGAACCGTGACAGCGGAAGGTTAAGAAGATCAAGTTGAAGAGAATAGAAACGGAAATTGAAAGTAATTGTGAACTGGAAGTATCATACAAAATGTCAAGGACATATGACGGGGATTTTCAGATGAAGTATTCAGTGTATGGTTCTCATATCTTACGAAGAGATCCTGTAATTTTGTATTTAAATATATCTGATTATCCTCACCTGTGTTCTCGTCCATTACAGTGTTAGTAAAATAATACACATCTACATTCAAAAGATAAAGCTCATAGTGCATTGTTTTTCCCATTCATTTTAATTTTCTTTTAAATAAATATTTAAAGAACTTCTAGAGAATACTGATTCGATTAAAGTCGAAGATGATATTTTAGATTATAATGAGAATGTACAACAATTATGGGATGAATTAATGAGAAATGAATCAGTTTTAGTTAAACAAATTGATGAATTAATTAATGAATTCGAATTAAACTTAAATGATATGATTAATACATTTATTGAAAATGTTGAAGTAAGTACCTAATACCATCACTTAACTGATTTTTAAACATGCTCTCCATTCACATAGACTTTCAGTCATATGAACTTGGCATATAATTTAATGGATCGAGAAATCAACACACATGAAGTCAATCCCTAATGACATCCTGTAAAGTATGCTGATAGTGTTTTTTAATAGTGGTAATGAATCCCCTTGGTTTAAATATCTAGGATAGTAACAATTCCAGTTGTTTCACAGATTGATAACGACTGTTGATCTAGTCAGGGTATTCTGGTCTTATGACGAGTAAGGCATTTATCCATTAATAGTACTGGATGATGAAGCTCTGAGTATCGCGAATTGGTTGAGGTTGAAAATGTGAACTACTTGACCCTTAAACAGTTGTCTAAAGGCAATACACTGAGTGCCAAGGTAACGAGATCAAAACCCAAAGAGGTTATGAATGCTCACTGTCTAGAGTCCTAAACTAGGATAGTTATTCAGCCATTTATGGTTCCCCAGTTGATACTAATGTGACAAAAACCAACTTCAAATGATGATTTTATTGTTTTACTTTAATAATTGACCAATGACTTTTTTCTCCTGATAGAAGGATTTTATTTCAAACCAATTATTTTTCAGGAACATTTTACAGAATGCCGCGAATTACAAACTCAGTATCATAAAAGGTTGACTGATCTATGCCCAGGTATTTTAGAACGATTTATGCGTAGTGACTTCCAAAATGAACCATCAGATGCTCTTTTAGCCGTGAGTTATAAAATCATAAATATAAGAATGGTTATTCGTATTGAACAATTATTTTTGCATTAATTTTTTCTGGTTTGTTGTAAAGGGATACAAAATACGGCAAATCAATAGGCTTTCAAATACTGATATTTTTAGTAGTGGATGCGAAATTTACTGGTCAGTATCTCGATCCTGTTTATATTTTGACGACGGATTAAATAGAATGATAATTAGTACTATTCGATAACTTAGGCATAACTTTTGAATAATTACATGCAAAATCTTTTTGATTCCCCACTTTGTCACGTGGATAGGAGTATCTAAGGTACGAAGAGTTTCTTGGAGGTTTTAGTGACGCCACCGTCATGAATGTCAATGACCAAAATAAATATACGAATGGAATTCCTTCGAGTTGTTAGTAGATGAGTATTTGGTAATCTAATTTGGAATAGCGATAACTAAAGTGAGTGGGTAGTTTCGTTAAGGTCTCGTCAGAGTCAACATTTAAATGTGATCATTCCCCACTTAGAAACAGGCATATGTCTAGAGATAACACATACATAAAGGCACCAATTATATGTAAACTAATTCAGAAAGTCGAGAACTATCTAACGATTCGTTTGAAAATTCTTTGTGAACAGTACACAGTAGGTTAACAAGTTTCCCTGGTTCACCAAGCGTTAAACACAGGGTGGAAATACAAGAAAAGTTCAGAAATATAGGGTGCAAATATTTTTTTAAAAACGATCCTTAAGTTCATGAGCCTTAAAGTATCGTATTTAAAGTAATCGAAAATGTAGGACTGGATTCTTCAGCTTTCAAATCCATAGGTACCCAAAAACGATATTGATAATGTTCCCGTTTCTTCTGTACATAAAATTCCGGGATTATTTTGACAAATGACGAATCAATAGTGACTGTGGTAAGTGTACTTATCTGAAAATATCATTCAAGTGTAGTTGTTAAATAGCACTTGTCAAGATTCATAAAAATTTTAATTTGTTTAACAATATACATTAAGAAATGTTTATCGTAAGTTGTGAAAGTGTCCCTAGATTCGAAAGTAAGATCTAGTTGTTTTTAAATAATAATAAAAGAAATATATTTGTAAAATCTCAGCGAATGAATTTGAAGTAAATCCAACGTTTCGCCTGGAAATCTGGTCCAAGCTTTTTCAAGGAAATAATGTCTTACATCAACTCGGCGCCCAAATACTGTGAAACTATTCGCTCTAATTTAGACGAAATTTCTTATATAAGCCAAAAGAAGTTGTGTAATGTTATAACTCAAAATTTACTTAATTTTAAGTAGATTATCGCTCTTAAACTAGAGCTTCAGAGATGTCTATTTTATGTCGCCGGTAATTAATCAATCTACAGATGTGCATATTTCTCATCATATCCTCATATGTCTACAAAAAACTGGAATATTTTATGTTCAATTATTTCAACTTTATTGAAATACATGCTTTATTGTATGTTCTTTTTTGGAATAATTATTACAGATTTTTATTGATAAAGAAAGTGTAACAAATGCATTAACAGCCAGTAACGATGCTCATTTACTTAAAATTGATGAATTCGCTGATGAAATTAATGAAAAAGCAAAAAGTTGGATGAAGGAAACATTTGCTTCTATATATTCCCGTGAGAAATATGATCGAAACAGAGCAAGAGTAATGGAAAGAAATCATTTTATAGATGCATTAAGAAATGATGTTGAAAATTTAGATATACCTGCATTAGGTGAATCTTGAATGTGCATAATATGGTATTCATTGGAGAACTATCTGGTAGTTTTATCAAATGCATTAAATAAATAAATTTAACTGTATTTATTTAATCTTGTTTTGATTGGACAGACTGAATAATCAACTCACTATCCATCGAATGGTAAATATTCAAACTATGGATAAATAGATACATCGGGTGCCTCATTTTTTCATTTATTAATTAGTCATTGTTCACAGTTGCTGAAAAACTGTATAGTCTTCTGACAACCTTAAACAACAATCCAATGTTTTGAAGGGGATTCTCTACCTCGAAACGCAAAATATTGCTTCAAAACTGATTTTCTTCAACACCTATCCAGCGCATCGACCATCCCACTTTTCTCGGAATTCACAACTTTGGTGTCTGATGAAATGTTGGTTAAGATTTGTGAAGCTCAGTTAACCTCTGCCAACTTGCATCGCTCGTAGGGTAGGGAAGGTCCGTCTGCTAACTAGGGGATAAGTTTATGGCTCATCAGTTCGCCTTGTTCTACCTTATGGGTGTGAAGCATGCCTACTAAGAATCGAGAATATTCGTCACACTAGGTGTGTTCGAAGCACCGCCCATGCACCACTGAGTGGGCGATTCCAGAGTTATAAGCAAGGTACTAAGTAAAAATGGTATATTGGTTGTCGTCGTCAACTGAGCTGGCTAGGACATGTATTACATATTCCTCGCTACCATCAACTTCGACAGGTGTTGTCTGGCAAACGATTAGGTTCAAATAAAGCTAGGGACCACCACGCCAGGACATAGCATTGGTCCATAGAGTGACTGACAACTGAACTGAGCCATGCAAATAAGCAGAGAATACCCGGTTAGCATGTGTGTGTTTATTGTAACCTGTGGTTAGAAATTTAGAGCGACATGGCTCAGAATTTGTCTCAATGGTGTAGGTACCTCACCTTTTGTTTCCCTTAAATCCTCAGTCACGAAATCGCCCTATAACATTTCCTTTTATCCCCAATCTTTTCTACTACTACTACTGATACTGCCATCAATTTAGAATTTGTTTGGTAATTTTACCTCGCTGTACTAATATGGTATGGCGACCTGGACCGTTACACATAACTGACTTTTTTGTTCAGGTAGAACTTTGAAAACGCCCAAACCTACTAAGAAATGTCATTAGATCGACTGTTTAATTAAAGAATATTTCTCTTTTTTCAGTTTTATCGGTAAATACTTTCCAAAAATCAAAATGCAGTTATGAGGATTTTGTTTGAGTCAATAATTTTTCAGTGTTTCAGTTTTAGCTGCAACAAGAAAATAACAAAACACTGACATTTACCTGAAAAGTATTTTCAGCAAAATTTAAGCGTTCACCGACAAACTAGATGATCCTTCGAAATGAGGTATATCAGTGGAATTTTCTATATAATTCGCAATTGATTAGAATTTAGAAAACACTCAGTATTTAGCTTTGTTGCCAAAACCATCTAGTATCATTATTGCACGTTAAACTTTAAAGATTTCAACTAATATTCAACCATGATAGCAAAAAGTGAAGAATTTACTCCTGATAGATATTATGACCACACTTATATTTTATTTTATGGGACCTACAGCTGAACTGATTTTTTTGTTCCCTATACATGCTGACATTGCTAAGTTTGTGCATGAGTCTATTCTGTTGTCTTCGATGAATGGAGTAGATAAGCTGAATGCACTGGAACGGGTTACAATACAAAAGAAAGTAGTATTAAACACACAACTAGTAATCAATATGTGATAGTCTAGTTGACAAGAGCTAAAGGAAGTAACGAGATTATCATCGGTGTTATTACGACATATAGTTTCTTTATCTGATAAGATCTTTTCTACTAACAACTGTCGATTCTAGTTCGATAAGTGCACTAGAAAAAGTTGTGTACGCTTGAAACAACAAAAAAATATTGAGTGCAAAGGATTCATTAAGATAAGAGAAAAATGAGGTGATTCTATAATGGTACCCGTACTACAAAATAGAGATGTTGGAGAAAACAGGTCTAAGTGATCTAGCTTAAAACAATTAATAAAACTTCAAGACTTCTAGCTTAAAACCATAGTAGTTCTAAAACCAAGAATTTTGCTATAAACCAAAGTCTATGAATGCATGAAAATTGTATTATTTTTTATAGCTATCCAATCTAATTAACAATATTTCCACTTGGTTGAACAATCAGATAAAAGATTTTAGAAGTAGTAGTACTGATTATCGTGGAGAAATCAACATAGATTAAAATATTTACAGTGATTGAATGTATGAAGTTGGAGAAATGACAAAAGATGGATGCTCTATCAGAGAAATACAGACAACTTCATTACGATTTCAAGGTATGAACACCACTTCCTCAACAAACATGACTTACTTTATGTAAGTAACCTTCCATAAGAAACCCACTCAAAATATTTATATTTAACTTACAAAACTACAATGTTAACGTTTAAGTGAGTATGAATTATTATTATTATATAATTACATAAGCATACATACAAGCAATCACAAAAACAAAGGTTAGATTAACATTCGAAGTATACATAAGGATATCTAAAGTTTTTCTTATTTTCCAAATGTTTAACAAAGATTAAATTATACAAATCGATGTAGTGTACAAAATAAACATCATACATATAAAACGAATAGGTGAGTTAATCAGTTAGTTGCCTGAAATTGTTTGAGTGAAAGTTGTCTGGAAACAAAGGATTATATGAAGAGTAAGTTCATCTTTAATTCCCTACAAATGGTAACCAATATTACACATAAAACCAAGACAAAACATCACATGGGATAAATTCAGTATGGAAATTCTCCACAAGAACAGAGGATTCAAAGACGATGAATGTGTATAGCCACAAGGTTAGAGATGAAATAAATTTGAGCAGTTTGAAAAATGACGACTAAATATAAGTGATACCACGTATTATAAATAACCTTAAGAAGGATCAATGTAAATAACAATATGTAGATTTTTTTAAATACTGGAAATAAGGACAGGATATCATGTACCTTTACGGGATTTATCTTCTGTGGATGGTACTAACAATAAGCTACTCTGTACACTGTAATTATCAAAAGAACTACATCGGCTACTTCCACCACCATCGGTACTTTTAGCACTATTTAACTGACTGCTTGTACTACTTGTCGACGCACATGATCCAACGGAGCAAGTGTCAGAAACAGCAGAGCTATGAACGCTGCTATTGATTGTGGCCCCTGCTGTACTTTCTGTTGTACTTTCACAACTAAACCCAATAGGAGTAAGTAACGTCGTCCCGGTACTTCCAGTTACAGATGAAGGACTTGCACGTCGGTTTCGCTTGCTTTGTGGGGCACCAGGTCCAATAGGTGGAATCAAAATACGCTCTACTGATGTATCAGCGGAAGAATCACACATTTTAAGATTCTTGGATAATTCCACACTCTGCTGATGTTGCACTATATTATTATTAGAAAGTGGACCAGACATTACTTCTGACATTTCCTTATCATGTTCAACGGCTGCTGGAGATTTGTTCATCCCATTTGGAAGCTGATTAGAATCACCCATGACAATATCTGCCTCAGTATCAATCACTTTCGGCTGAGTATCAGAGCAAGCAAGCATAACAGTATGTTGACCACCAGCATCAATCATTAAAACTCGTCTGCAAGAAATATAAGATATCACATTTCAAATAAGTGCTTAGTTGAGCGAATTCATTACAAATACAATTTGTATGAAAATGATGGAGTATGACAAAAAAGACTAGCAATTTTTTAAATTCCAATTTGCCACCTTAAGTCCGTAAGCCTTAAATATAGGAAACACATTTGATCATAGATGCCTTTAGAGAATTGTTTGTATGTGATGAAATAACTCGTTAGGCGATAGTGTGGGTAACCGCGAGTTCAAGATAATAGAGAAGCTATTCAGATAATGATATAAACGTTTGTTGTTGAAGGTGAATGAACAAAGTTTTATACACGCTAGGTAGAGCATTTTATTGAGAATCTAACTGCTTTCCAGAACTAAGTATTAAATAGACAATTATTAAACATTTTTCTTTAAATACATAATACCACTTTGAAAGTAATATAATTTACATTTACTTTTTTGTACACGCTACAAGATGGATAAACCTAATTCCAATAACTTTGAAGCAAAAATATTATACTTTTTATTTTAAAATTTGGATTGGAAGGTCCAACATGATAGTTTAAAACTAATCTTTAATCAAACTTATTCTAACTGAAGCGATGAGCTACGCTGTATCGAATGAACGTCAAAACATGATAAAAGAAGAATTCTAAGCCACCATTTTTTTAAAAACTTAGTCACTGTACAAATAATTGTAATGATAAATATCCATGTTTGTGAGAAGCCAAGTAATTCACTTTATTTAAAATAAGAGCAGCGAATTAGATCTTAATTGAAGTGTTTAAAGGTAATTGGAAAGTTTGAGAGTGATTAAACTAACTAATATTGTTTAACATGCATGCTGAAGATGCGAAATTGCAAATCAAACCAAATCCATTAGAAATCATAATGATTACGATTATTTCCAATCGGAAGAAAGATTAAAACTACAAAAGTACACCTCATAAAAACGTTTTTATATGGACAACATACACATCGAACCACGTTATAAGCAAAAGATAAGTTTTATATTTAAATGTAAACACTAAAATATCTTACCGATCTTCTAGTTGTTTTCCTACCATCAACTCTGGTTCCCAACAGTCATCTTCACTATCTCCATGCCCAAGTTGATGATTGCTACCCATGCCCCAAGAATAAGCACGACCTATAAATAAATACATCTAATTTGATGACATTATGTACAAAATATTTTTACCATAGAATTCTAGTTAACTTTCTACAGTGTTTAAATTGGTTTGGACTACAAATTCAAACCTGGTAACGATAGTGGGATAAATAAAAGGTTGAACAACAGGTACATTTTGATAAATTGACCCCGTCGCCAGTTGTTATCTCTAGAGCTTTAGATTCTTGCTATG